TTTTTTTAACAATGTTTTCCAAAAATTATAAATGTGCAAAATAAATAAATTAAAATGCATTTACTAAAGAAATTTGCAGGCGTATTCCCTGACTAGAGATAAGTTGCAGAAGAATGCAAAGAAATTTGCAACAAATGTTATCACATCACTTTCTTGCAACAAATGGGCAGATTTGTCCCAATGGTGAGGCATGGCCCAGCATTACATATTATACAATAAAGGATTTTTTTAGTATTTTAAAAATATCGATTTTTTTTAAAAAAGTTTTCTTTTTCGATATTAAAAGTTCAGAAACTTAGACTTATATTTAATTTATATATACTAATGCGGAAACTTAGGGCCTCGGCCAAGCTTTCTGAAGGCCTCCACATTTCTAATTATATAAATCAAAATTAGAAAATGGGATTCAAACATTTTCACATTATTATTAAAGGGGCTCTTAAAATCAAAATCTCAAGTTAAATCTCTCGTTTCCCCAAGCCTGATTTATTATTAAACAATAATATGAATTTGGAAAAAAAAATTTAAACCATTTTACTCCTCAAACTGCTCATTTTTAAGAATAAAATTGGGAAAAAAAAAGGGTACAATCGATTTCAAGAAATTAAATGAAAATCTAATGGAATTTTAAGTTCCTAAGTCATTCATTTTTTAAGTCACAAAATGGTTTGCTTGAGATCTCCCAAACGTTGTGCAAACAGGCTTTTTACATCTCTTGACTATCAATTTTTATTTTTTTTGAACTTTTTATGAACATTCTTACTTCTGTGATAGTTAGTGTTTTTAGACCAATTTAATTTGTTTGAATCATTTTCTGATGCTTAAAATCATAATATGTAACTGCATTTGTTAAAAACGGAAAAGTTGTTTTTCATAAAAAATTGCAATATGGCTTGTCACTGCAGTTTGAAGAACATAATTTTGAATAGCACATATTTAACTATTTAAGCAGCCTCATGGAGCATTGAGAAAGCAAAAGTGACTAAAATATGGAAAGCTAAAAGTTTTCTTAAGTTTAATTAATTACAAAAAAAAAAAAAAAAATTAAGAATGAGAAGAAGTGGTTTTAATAGAGACGACATTTCTAAGCGCAATTGAATAACGAATATTTACAATTGGAAGCAAGTGTCAGATAGAAGACTATTATAAATGAAAATTATAAAAAAGCTTTTCTATTCATTATATGCATGGAATAAAACTGCAACTTTTTATGATAATAAATGAAATTATATTTACATATTATAAAGTACAACATCTCGAAGAAATATACAAATACAAACCCTACAAATGTTTAAACAATTTTCTATGAACGACAAACTATAAAATGTACTAAAATTAATTTTTTTTCTCCCTTTCTTGGAAAAAGCACATTTATTCACCCAAAAATAAATCAAAATCATTAAATAAAAGTGTCATCAATAAAAATATGATTAAAAAAAACTGAAATGAAAGACAACAGGTAACATGACTATAAAAGAAAATTCTAAAAACAGTTGCACAATACAATAAAGAAAATAAATAAATAATAAAAGTAAAATTCAAGATAAATTTGAGATAAAAATTATATTTTAAACTAGAACAATTTTATTTTTATCCAAATTATATTTGCAAAATATCAACAATTGTAATTTACATTTTTCTTCTACAAACAAATTCTGCTACAAACAAATTAAATTTAAGTCATTGGCAGATTTTTCACTTAAAACTTTTATTTTTAAAAAAAGGAATAGAATTGCCTGATATGGAGATAAAAATGGCTGATTTAGGATTCTTGGAAATGAGTCTTTTTTTGTGTGATTTATATTTAATTCTTGGATGTGAGGAAAATTTAGTTTTTCAAAGATCTAAACTCGCTGAAGATCTATTACTTGCTGAACATTATTGCTGAAAACTTAGTAACAATCAATGCAAGGAAACAACAAAAGGTCAACATTTTTAGGGACTAAAATAATAATTCATAAATTTATAGGACAGTGTTGCAGAAAACAACATTTACAAAAGTATATAAAAACACTATTCTAGTGTTAACTTTTATACAAAGAAAAGATAAATGACAAACATAAAATTTGTAGCAGTATATTTCATTGAAAAAAAAAATAATACAAAAGCACTTAAGTCCAAAATATAATAATAATGGTAGTATGAAGATGAAAAAAATATATATATATATATATCACAACACCAACTACACTGAGAGGCAAAACAAAAAAATTAACTCATTTTGCAACAAATTTAAATAATTAAAAAGGAGAAAATTTGTTGCAGGTAAAATAAATAATTCTAAAATGTCTATAATCTATTGGTATCAAAATGATTAAAGTTCTTTTTTTGTGAAAGATGTACAACTTAACAAGTCAACATCACTAATTACTTCAATATTGTACCAACAATCATGGGCACCCATAGAGGAGGACCGAAGGGGCCCCTCCCAGAAAATATATGCATATGCGTAGTTGATTAATCATGTATAATTAAAAGTCAAATTAATTTAAATTAATTACTTATTCAGCTAATTAAGCTAAAAATATTTAAATAGATAAAATTACCTTTCATTAATTTTTTAATTCATTAAGCTATTTGTCGTTTTCTTTCCTGAGTCCCCCCCTCCCTAAATTCAAACATATGGGCGCCCCTGCCAACAATAAAGGAAAAAACATAATTTGAAGAAGAAAAAAAATCATTTGAAAATTCGTCCTATTCTTAGATCTTTGTTTTCAGCATTTTGTTAAAATCTATACTTTAAAAGCTATTCATCACCATAAAAATTTGAGAATGTAAACTTAATTGAATCTCATATAATTATCAAATATCAATTAAACCTTAAGGAATATATGCATTGTACTTATATATCTGGACCATACATAAAATTAGTGGAGATCTTTTAAATTTGAAGTCAAAATCAAATGCATGCCATACTTTCTTTCCACGTGGCAAAATTGCAGCGACACAGCAACATTGCAGCAGAACATTACAGAGTTCTTGCAGAAAGTTTTTTCTTTTGAAATGTAAAATTTTTTAGTTTGTATTTTCGGCTGTTACTGATATTGATTTCAAGCGGATTTTAAATATCCCGATAAATTTCAAACACTGTGGAAAATTCGAATGGTGCATTTGAGTATTTACTTTGTAAGGCAATAATTTATCGAATTTTTAGCAGTTATTTATGGCTATTGATTTCTCCATAGTTTTTAAATCCCATATGTTTTTTTATACGATGTTATTCATTACAACCTAATCTTGAAACGAAACACACATTTGAGGAATCCAATTCGTGTGATTTCGTTGTCAATCTTTTTTTCGGCAATGACTACTACGGATTTCGAATTTTAATTATTTTCTTCATTGTGATCGTTATTTACAAAGCGCGAAGAAGGAAATAATGCGTGCACCCCCCCCCCCCANATAATTAGTGCATTTTCCCCTCAACAAAATACGAGAATATCACCCACAACATCAGACTAAAAAATTATTACATGTTTAATTTAAAAAAAAGTTATATATAGCTTTTCTTAAAAATGCAGCGCTTTTGTTATTTTAAATGAGTAACATGTATGTTTGTTAATTATTAAAAGTATCTTGCAGAAAGACATTAGTGCTAGAGAGTTTCGTTGCAGATAGCTGGACACAATTCTGACACAGGGCTACCTATGAATGATAGTATTTTTATAAGTAGTTTTTTTATAAGTATAATTAATAAGGGGTGATTTGTTTGAAAAACCATAAAAAATATTACCAATTAAAATGATCTATTTCTATCCTTTAAAATTTGCATTTGAACACAAAATTGTTTCAATAGCAGCACAAAAATATGTACAGTAAAACCCCAGTCATCAGAAATTTCGAAAAACGTAAAAAGGCAACCGACATCTATTTTTCTACCTTCCGAAGAAGTTTTTATGTACTCAACTCTCACTTGCGTTTAATTTGCGCGTTAGTAAAGGTTCATATGCAGCTGTAAAATAAATTAATGTGAGCAAGTTTTATGTTAAGTCATAATGTCACTAAAACTGCTTGACCACCACCCACTTTGTTTAGTAATTAAATTTAGTTAAATAAAGTACTCATTGAAAGAGCATTATGGTACGGCTTATGGCTGATGTGAATTGAGAAGATGTTTAAAATTACTGCTAAGTTTGACAAATTATTTCTTACTATTCGATTCTTTTTCTTAATATGTTATACCATTATGTGTTTTTAATTTAATTATTCTAATTAGCTTCCACAGTTTTGAAAATTATTTTACTATACGAGGATTGCAACTGATTAGAATCTCATTTTTTTTTAAAAATTATGTATAGTTTAAAAACGTTTTATTTCATGTATGTGAAGTTGTGGGGAGTGAGTAGTCATCATCAACCTTCATCTATGAAAAGGTACCCCGTCATAGAATTGAGTTAACATATCTTAGATACTTTTTATTTTATAACCGTCGTTGAACAGCCGACCCAATCTTATGGGTTTACGACTACTAATGTTCAGCTCCGTAGCCTTGTCATTTTGAACCCAATTCAGAAGACAAGGGAACTCTTGGATTGAGTATGGGCAGAAATTTGCCTTTGTGGATAACTTATTAATGAAACTAACACCGCAATTGCGTTACATGGAGAGGAAGACCATGAGAACCTCCCACAGTTAGCCTGACAGCAAGGGGACTCTAACCCATGATCTGTCTACCATTGAGGATATTTCACGTTAGCACTGTGGTTGGTGCAAGTCGGATACGGAATTCGTATCGACTGGGATTCGAACCCGGTTCGCCTAATCGGAAGGCGAACGCTGTATCCCCTGAACAATGGCGGCTCATATCTTATATACTAGTGAATTGAAATTTAAATTTTGTAGAGGTAGATACACTACTAAGTTTTTTAGTTCGATTTCAAACAATATGACATGTCATGGAGGCCAAAAACACAGCCCTGAATCCTAACAGGTAATGATCAGAGTTAGTTTGGATTGACGAGGTTCTATTGAGCATTAACTTGAGAACTGAATATAGACACTTTAAATATAACTTCAATTTATAGTGTTATATAATATTTAGCGTTTTTGATGTGTTTATATACATGGAATTAATCATCAAATTTTGTAACACAAATGATTCAGTGACGAATGTTTGACAAAAATGCAGCTTGATTGTGAAGAGAAATTTGAATTTCACAGGGTTGCTGTTCCCAAGGTTCACCATCAATTTGGATCGGTAAACGTTCAAGAAGTTTAATCTGAAAAGAAAAATACAAATTTTGAAGGAAAAAAAATGAATTGCTTCACAAACATTTCCTTGTAAAATAATAGAATGAAAAATTACTCCAGGAGAAAGGTAGTAGATCATACAAGAGCGAGGACTGCCTTGATGGAAGAATGTTCTCTGTTATGTTAAATTAAACGTAAATATCACAATTTGCTTATTTATTAGTTTGAATTCCTAAAGTTTATGAGTGGAATTTAAAATTTAGTTTTATTGAAGAAATACTATTTCAATATACTTTGAGTTCTATTTTAAAACAAATGCAAGTTTATTCATGAATAGTCTCAAAAATGAATGATTTTTTTTCCTTTGTTAAATAAAGAATTAATATTAAAAAATATTTTCACAATATACAAACATTTTTAACAATATACAATTTTTTAAAAAGCTATGGTAACTTAAAATACTGAGTTATCATCAGTATTTTTTGTTTATAACTGAGGCATCTCTCTAGAAATAAGTTTAAGTAAGATAAGAGTGGATAAATAAATTTCAATAACATGGCCAATAATGCTTAAAAATCCTTCAATATTGAAAACGATAAAATTTCCCTCCTTCTCTTCATAAAAATGTAAGTTTTCTAGAAATAGAATGAATAATTTTTACAAAACGTCATATATTTTCTCCAATATTCCAAACTCAAAAAATTGACAAGAAATCTTACTTTTGCCATTGAATTATCGAAAAATAGATCAAAATTAGAAAATTGACGGTTGAAACACTTTTAACCCCTTAACTGCCGAGTAAAATTAATGTGATTCACTCCCCAGTGCCACGGTTTTTCGCTCAAGTGCACTTTCTTACANTGCTAAACATGACAAGGCTCATTTCAAAAAATAAAGAAAAATTTTAAGAATAAAGTATGAAATAAAATAATTATACAGTCAAACACCGCTATAGTAAACTCCCGGATATAGTGAACGTAATGTTCGCTCTTGTGTCTTGCTACACATGTATAATGTTATTTTTTGTGGATATAGTGATGTAAAACAACAGGATATTAGAAACTTTTTTTTGTCTTTGACTGATTTATTTGCTTCATTTTTTTGTAATGATTTCGAAATTTCTAATTCAAAATAAATACCTATTTTTAAAACCATCTATCGCATTGAATGTAGCAATAAGTATTTTTTCTTGCTTGCTTCATTATTGAATGGGTAGCATTCAAAGAAGCCACAAACGATTCAAGCCAAAACTGATGAATTTGCTAAGATAACTTTGATGTGCTCAAATGGATGGTTAAAACAGGTTTAAAAACTGTTAAATAACAAAAACAGGTTAAATAACATAAATTGAGGAAAAATTACCGGAGAGCCGGGAAATGTTTCCATATCTGACGTGGAGGATTGTGCATCAGCTAAAGATTACTAATTTTTTTTGTAGGCAAGGCAAAGAGTAATAAAAAATAAAAATTAACGCATTTTTGCTACTACGTATTATTTTTCAGTCAGTTTTGTACTTCATTTTATTGGTTACTTATTTAAATAATGTATAATAAAAGTGGGGGAGTTTGGAAAGATTAATTAAAATTGTTTGCGGAACGGATACAGTGAACCGAAATTTCGGTCCCTTGAAGGCTCACTGTTCGACTGTATTATAACAATTAATTCTGTACTTATTAAAAAAAAAACTTCAACAAAAAAAAATTTAAATCACTCACCCTAACATTTTTTGCTTGTCCTAATCTTAGTGGTTCAGACAATCCGATCTGAAGTTGAGCTATGTGGAATGAAGAGTAAATGCCCATCACTTCTAGCAAACCATCGTCCAGCCTTAAATTAACAAAAACATATGATTGAATACAAAATTTAAGGTATGAATTTAAGGTTTCGTATTAATACAAAATTAGACAAAAATATTTTTAATATGTATTTTTTTCCTCGATGATTTTAGAAACGAGAAATTTTTTATTTAGAGCCTGTAGTGTATATATCTAAGGCTACAAAAATATAATTCCAATTCACTTGTATATAAGACATATATATATATAAAAGACAGTTTTTGTTTTTCATTTTCAAATAAATCACTTTAAATAAATTTTTAAAATGTTTTTGTTTTTCAAAAAATAAACAATTTAAACATTTATTGAGAAGGAGTAATTTGAAATGAATTTTCAAAGACAACTTCAAAATCACTTTATTTGATATTACATTTAACTTGAATATATCTTTAATTTGCTTTAAAGATCTGGCAGACTTATTCTAAACGTCAACATCGTAAAAAAATTTCAATCACTCGTTATATTAGTAATGATAACAAAAAAGATATTACACCACCCATGGAAATTTGCAGGATCCTAGTTAATTTTTTTNTTTTTGAAAAAGAAAAAAAATACTTCTTCATTATGTCAAAACACAATTATGTGCCGAGTTTCGTGCCTGGGCGAAGCTTCTGGGGCGATATATTGTGATTACAGACAGACAGACACACACACAGCCGCATTTATTATTATGTATAGATGATAACAAAAAAGATATTACACCACCCATGGAAATTTGCAGGATCCTAGTTAATTTTTTTTTTAAATTTACACCTCACTTAGGAGGTTTCATGTTTTATTATTTAATCCTTTCTCAGTCATTGCAGTTCATTTTAATACAGAGCCTGGCCACATTATTAGATTCTGCCTTTTCTTTCCTTTCGGGCTCAATTCGTCACTCGACTCAATTTTCTTCTTTATGCATAGAATGCAATCTTTTTTAATTTAGTAGGTATTTTATTGACGTTGCACAATGGGTTATTAGCGACGGTCAAGGAAACATCCCTGATTTTGATCCAGAGACATGCAATTTTGGATCCTCTGCAGAGGCTCCTCCGCTTTGGTTGCCTGACAATCGGGAAGTCGAGCATTCGACGGTAGTACAGATTGACGAGGACCGATATTCTGCTGGTCCATACGCGGACTGATCAAAGCGGTCACCCGCTTACTTACTCACCGCAGTCGGTGATGCTTGAGTTTAGTGTTTTAATGGGTACAGTATCTTTCCGATCAGTCCACTACTTTCAATCTTCTTGTGGCATTTCAGCATTCACTTTACTTCAGTTCCTTTATTTGATCACATTTTTTACCCATGATGTTCTGATTGATTATTCACACACTGCACACAAAATAAACAAATAACTGCATAGTAAAAAACTGTGAATAAACACAAAGCCACAGAAACATGTACGTATCTGACGCACGCGAGAATGCGACTGAAACAGGTTTGCATTTGTTTACGCTCCTGTATCAATGGGTTAACATTGTCATGCAAGACATTAAAAATAAATACAAATAGGAAGTCTATAAAAAATCTCTTGAATAAAAATTCATTATATGTATGTTTAAATACGAAAGAATTGCCTATAAACTCGTGCAAATCATGTAATTACTAAAAAAACTACAGTGCGTCTAATAATTTCACCAGGGACTGTACAAATATATACAATAAATGAATAATTAAAACATTGTAATTAATGATAAATAAAATTGAGCATACTTTTGAGGTGAGTATGTCGTTTCTGGAGTTCCCATATTCCATGGCTTCACACCTCCACCCCAGCTGGATATGTTAAGTATTACAACAGCTTCTAATTCAGGTAATTCAACTAACTTGTCATCCAAATAGAGCTGAATCTTGCTCTGAACATTCTCACAGCCTCTCTCTAAAATATCTTTTGCTCCATACAGAAGATACAAAAACTAAAAAAAAAGATATTTAATTTCATGATTAGATTATGAAAATGACCCACTTGGGTGATCAATTTTTCCTGAAATTGAATTAAATTCTAAAATCAACCCCTTATTGTCTATTGTCTCAACCCCTTATTATTCTAAATTGATACATAATCTTAAAAAAAATATGCACAAACTTACTATTGGATAAAAAAAATAACACTTAGATCAGTGATTCTAAACCACTGCATCACAACACTTTTGCGTGCGGCCAAATTTTAGAAATGGTGTAGCAAAAATTATATTGAGAGTACAAATTAGTTCGGTCCGTTTCCAAAAGATGACTCTGACTGTTATGAATGTTTCATAGTGACAGCTGGTTTCAGAGAGGTTAGATATCTGTCTATAATATTCAGGTCATATCGCTTTGAGTTCGATACAAAAATCCTGCTTTTTACTTTGTTGAATATAAAATATCAAACTAAATCTGAGTAAAATATCAAACTAAAGTTGTGGTAACTAAGCAGCATTTGTGGGAGGTTTTATGTTTCTGCGTTAATTATAAGAAAAGTGCAGCCAAAGCGCATCAAATGCTTGTAGAAGTTTATTGTGACAATGCTAAAACCGATAAACCTTGTAGAGGATGGTTTCGCCGTTTCAAGAATGGTGTTGCATACTATGAGTTGCTACTACCTGGCGATGCCATTACGGGCGATTGGTATAAGCTACAATTGATTCGTTTGAGCCATGCATTAGGAGAAAAACAGCCAAAATACGAGCAAAGACATGACAAAGTTATACTTCTGCATGACAACGGTCGGCCTCATGCTGCAAAAGTTCTGAAAAATTATTTGGAAACGCTCAAGTGGGATATTTTACTGCACCCCTCATATTTGCAGGACATTGTTCCTATAACTTACTGGTTGTTCCGACGAATGGAGCACAATTTGGCAGGTCACTGGTTCACTTCTTTCACAGAAATCAAAAATTGGCTCCTAACCTGGATCGCCTCAAAAGACTAGAAATTTTTTCGAGATGGAATTCGAAAATTGCCTGCGAGGTGGGAAAAAGTAGTGGCCATCGATGGACAATATTTTGATTAATCTGTTCATTCATTTTGCTCTGAAATAAATGCATTTTTAATCACAAAAGAAAAACAGACGGAACAAATTTATACTCCCAATATATATATATATAATATTATATATACATAATATTATATATATATATATACTTTTTATAGATTGACTTATATATTATACTTTTAACGGCGTGAACATCTTTGACGGCGATTTCTGACAATCTTAAAATGAGTAGGAAATTAAATGACAGTTAAAATTAATAGTTAACAAAAGAAAGCAAGTTAAATATTAACTAACAAATGGAAATAAAAGCTAATAATTAATATGAGCTATGCAATTAATAGTTATAAAAACAAAATATCAAAAAACATCAAGCTCAAATTTCTCATTAAAAATAAATTCTTTCTTAAACATACCGTTGTTTTCATAGTACATGCTATTTAATTTAACATCCAAAATTATTATTATGAATTATTATACATTCAAAATTATTATTATGAACTATTATACATTCAAAATTATTATTATGAACTATTTAAAATCGTCAAATACGTGTCACGACAGAAAAAAGATTGAGAATCACTGACTGAGTTACTAAATTAACAATTATTACAGCACTGAATCTTAATACTTCATTACAAAATTAATTAAATAGATAACTTGGAATGAAAGTTAAAGCTTGAAGCTTGGCTTTTAGTTAAATTAGAACTACCCCTTATTGTTTTTATCATCCTGCGCTTGAAATGGAAAATATTTGTTAACAGCATTTCAGATTTGAGTTTATCTTCTTTTGCTTATTTATAAGGAGGGAAAATTCGGAACAGCTTGTAGAGAAGAAAAAAGGTGAGAGGTTTTCTTTTTTTTCTTTTTTTTAATTTCTTTTTATCTATTAATATCTATCTAATTTTATCTGGTAAATTCCATTTTAAAAATTAGATTTTTCTGGCTACCTAAATCCATGACTTGCCATGATTTTTTTCAAAAAAATAGTTCAAATCATGACATTTCATGACAAAATTTGTTCAGTACCAAAATTCATGACTTTTGAGGTGCACAGATACCCTGTAATTATTTTCATTTGCAGGATTTGTCAAGGAGCACAGGTAAAATGCAGAAAAAAGAAAGTTACAATTTTTTGAGAGGGGATAAACATTTTCAGTCAATTTGTATAAGTGCATAACAGTGTGTATACTAGGTTATGTCGTAGCGGTGAATAAGTATGCGTACAAAAAGAATTTATAAATTTAATAAGTACATGCGTTGTGATTTATTTTTAATTTAAGATTAAATTTTATCACCGTCACAATGAAGTAAGTAAAGTTACATAAGCCAAAATCATTAAGCTAATTACTATACATTTCAAAAATATGTTAGCTGAAAGAAAAAGGAATAGGCAAGTCACTTAGAATTAAAAAAAAGAAATTAGAAATTATCTTATTTATCATACTTATTTGCATTAAATAATCGATATTTTAAACTAAAATTTACATTAGATGCTCGACAATTTTATATCTTAATTTAGCTAACATTACTGTAATTTTAAATAGTTACTCATACACATTTCAGTCCTTATTATAAATTATGCATAAAACAAAAGATAAAAAAAACTTATCTGTGGATTTTGTCGCTGGTGACCGTTCACCACGTACCAGCAGCTTCCTTAACTTGGGGAAGCAGGGAGAGAGAAAAACTAACTTTCAAATTTCCCACCTTCTCTCAATTTGGCGCTGCAGGACAGGATTTTCCACTCTCTAGCCAAGGGTGGGGAAAAATTTAAGTTAGCTTTTAAAAAAAATAATAATAATATGCGGTGCCCAAAGAAAATAATTAAAGTGCCCATAAATTAGAAACTTAGCTTTGCATGTATACAAAAGAGCACAGTAAAGAGTTAAAAAAAAACGACATTTTTTTTCTATTGGAATTTATTCTTTCTAAATACATGAAAATTGTTATTAAAATGTACTTATTTCTTCTATTTCATGACCGTTGTCGAACAGCCGACCCAATGTTCTGAATTTACGACTACTAATGTTCAACTCATCAACTCAGTAGCCTTATTTTAAACCCAATCCAGAAGACGAGGAAACTCCAGGATCAAGTGTTGGGAGAAATTTATCTTCGTGGAACACTTTTTGATGGAACTAAACTGCATTTGAGTTACAAGTAGAGGAAAACCAAAAAACCTCCCACAGTTAGTCTGACGACAAGGGGACCTTAACCCGTGATCCGCCTACCACTGAAGATAGTTTAAAATAGCACTGTGGTCGATGCAAGCCAGATGCGGAATTAGTATTGACCAGTCATCGCTGCGATTTGAACCTGGGTTCACCTTCTTGGAAGGCGAACGCTCTATCCATAAGCCATCCCGGCTCGACTTAAACTATTAACACTCAACATACTGTAGACCTGGCAATAACTAATAAATGGGAGACTTTGCAGGTATGGGTATGCACACAAATAAAAATAAATTATTTATTTTCTTTCTTTTTTGCTAACAATGGTTGAAATTAATGCAAAAAAAATAAATAAATAAATAAAACTTGCAACCTTATAAAAAAAAAAATGATTTTAAAAATTTCTTACCCTGTTAATCAATCGATTTCCAAAGAGATAAAACTTTGATTCTCTTGTTTTATGGAAGTTAAGTGCTACCAAAGCATCTACTCCAACTGATACATAATTATTCATAAAATATACCTGAAAAAATATATTGTGACATTAAAATACGACGTTAAAACATGCGTAACATTAATTAAAAAATATATTTCCAGAAATACCTTTGAAGGATGTCGCATAGGTTTTAACATAGGTAAGTGCCTAATGGGTGTTAGGTTGATTTTCCACCTGAAATGAAAATAACAACAAAACTGATTCACAGGGTGTATAGCCAAATCTTTCAACAAAAGCACCTTTTGAGTACTTTTTTACGCACTTAAAAATATTTTTAAGTACTATATACATTAACAAAATGCAAAATAATTTTCAAAGATTTTACATGATCATGATAAAATAATGTGAAACATGTAAAATGATTGGCGCTTTCAAACGCTATGGAACGATGGTACGCCGATATGGATTGTGGTTGAATGAATAGTAAAAATGTTGAATAGAACAATGGGAAAAGCATGCTTTTGAATAATACGTGCAGAAAATGGACATGGTAAAGAATTAAAACCTCAATTTTTGAAAAGGGAAAAACTAAGCACTTTTTACCTAATGAAAATACCAACTTTAAGGGCTTTTAAAAAACGTTACACACCATGTTAAAGAAGTTCTTAAAAAAATCAAATTTTAAATGCAGGATTTTACAGTTTGATTACTTAAACTATTTTACTGATTTTGTTCCTATTTTGCAACTGCTATTTATATAACAGTTTATAACGCAATTTTAATTTTACATGTAGTAAGAATGTAATTTTATAATTAAATTCTTAAAAATGATTTAAAAATTAAAAATGATTAAAAAAATAATAAATAATAATTAAAAAAACATTTTTTGCATAAAATTGTCTATGGATAAGCCGATTTATATAATTGTGTAAAATTTTTTTTCCGATTAGCGTAATAAGTTTTATAGACAAAGTGAAATACGTAAAATGTAAAAAGCCAATATAATTTTGTTTAATGTTACCTTATTGGGCTATTTTCGTGGGTCCAAACCTTCGCCTGCTCTTCTTTCAGAACTATTGGAAACTTATTTCCCTGATTACGGCTACCCCCCGAATTTTGAGTGTCAGAAATCCTAATATGCCAAAATAAAGGTAGGTTTATTGAGAGAAAGTATGTTTTTGTGTTTGATTTTGTAACTTAAAGTGTCTTCACTACTTAATTAGCATATTTCGGTTCACCCCTATAAACTATTAAATTTGAGTACTAGTATGTGAAGATGTAGTCAATACATCAAAAGTTATTCAGGGTGTCTTTTTCTGCCTGGTACAACAAAACAGAAAAATTGTTGCTTAATTTTTTTTCTTCAGTATTATCATTGTAGAGCTTGATTTTTATTGAATTTGCAGCAACCAAAGTTCAATTCTTTAGTTTTGTCATTTTAAACTTAACACAGAAGGCAAAAGAATTCATGGCACTAAAACAAACTCAGCAGTGAAAAATCCTATTTTACTGACATACAAAATAAATATTTGAAGAGCTCCAATTTAAAGGACTATCTATTAGCAACATTTTTTCAGATGGTTGCATCCCTTAAAATGGATTAATTGTTTCGATTCCTAAACAAGTTTCTTTCAAATGATTAAGTTTAGATATGTTATAATTACTTTTTAGTGTCATATTTTAAGTAGAAAATACTAAAACAATAATTATTAAAATATTAACAAGGATAAAATACTTGATGCATAAATTTCAAATACTAAGGGGCCAGGCTAACTGCACCCAGCTTGGCCCGTGAGCCGAAATTGCACACATGTAATATTTCATTACAATGAATGAGTTTGCACATTGGTAAATAATATGTCTAAATAATTTTTTTTAGTTTAAATAACTTTAAGAAAGTGTTTACTTTGTAAAAAATATTAATAAAAAATTTATATTTTTGTTTATCAAAAGTTGTGAACATTAGTTCCGTGGAATAAATTATTAATTATCACCATTCAATAAATACTCATTTTTGGTGGATCATTTTAATATATTAGATTTATTAGAACTGCTTGAGCTCAGAAAAAAAATTTCCTGTTTTTCCTGTACACAATATATTAACAGGGTGCGTAGCCAAATTATTCAACAAAAAATAAGCACCTTTTAAGCACTTTAATAATATTTTTCAGAAAAGAATATCATAATTAGACAGGGATGGAAAGTTTTTGACAATTGGCGGTTGTATCTCATTTTAACAGTCACTTAAAAAAAGAATTCGTTTGGCATTGTATTTGACATTTGTCAAGATATTTGAATCACGTAAATCGAATGTCGTTTTCATAAGCTACGGTCTGACGATGCGCCGAAATACATTGGGGTTGAATTAATTGTTAAAACGTTGAATAGAACAATGTGAACAGTGTCTTCCTGCATAATTCGTAATGAAAATCAACATGGTACAGGAAAAATCTCATTTTGGAAAAGGGAAAATTAAGCACTGTTTAAAAACACCCAATGAAAAAAGCACCCTTAAGGGTTTTAAAAAGCGAACATCGAAAATAAGCACCTTTAAGCACTTTTTAAAAACACTAAGCACCCGGATTAAGAGGAAACAACAATTACTGTGCTCTTGCATGAGCAATATTGGGCTAACTAGATTTATTAGCCTTAATTGCTGGAAAAACAGCTGAACATACTTAAATAATGCTATAGTAAATGTAATAGTGCAGTATAGCTGAAATATCATGGTTAAATATCCCATAGCTTATGCTTTGAGTGGTCACCATTTTTTAAAAGCCAAAAATAAGAAACAAAATTTCCTGTATTTTCCCAGTTTGTACAGAAAAAAAAATCGAAATTCCCTGCATTTTCCTTGTTATTTTAGGTGATTTTTAAATTTCTTGTATTTTCCAGGTTTACCCTATGGAGTGGCAACTCTGCTTTAGCGTCCCTAAGTGAAACATTGAGGCTATTTATCTTGGTTTTTTAAAAATAATATATTAAGCACGGAATATTTAAACAAAAATTTCAATCAGATTTTTGAAAAAAATTTTTTTTTTGCGTTTAATGATTAAAACTCTGATAAAATGTAAAAATACTTATATTGTTTTAAAACAATACGGCAACTAAAATTCCTAATACCACTAATAATAAACAGTCTGCCCTGATTATTCCAAGTTAACTTGGCTCAAGCAAAAAGAAGAAGAAGAAAATCTGCTGTAATTGGAAGTTTGCCAAGTTCTGTTGTTGATTTGTGGGACTGCACATGTGTGATTGTAAATACAATAGTTGCTGAATTTACATAGAACAAAAAAAGTTTAAAATATCACTTCACTGACGTTTGGAATGTATTGCTTCACTTTGCTGTGTCCTCTGTTTCAAAAACTGTCATACAAAGATTTATCTTTCTTCATTTGCTCGGGAGAGTAAACCTGATGGTCAATTAAATGTTTTTTTACACAAAGAAAATGCATCATGTTTCGTTTTAGTTTCTTGTATTTATTAATGAATTTTAAAAAAAATATGCTGATTTTTTGCATTTTTTTTTTTTGTTAAAAAATTGGTAAGGGAAGCAGTTAATATTTAATTATTGCTAACTAATTACTGAATAAATAAAGTCAGTTATTTTTTTAATCAAACTCTACTTAATAAATTGCAAAAACAGAAAGCAATTTGTAAAATGAAACGTAAATTAATTTAGACCAGAAAACATTTTTAAAAAACAATTATTCAAGTTTGAACAAGTTTTTATTCTTTATTTGCAATTAGATGTACAAATATAAGACTTAATAAGTTTTAAAATTACTTAAAATAAATATGTGTAAAATTAAATGAGTATAACTGAAATATATTTATTAATAGTAAAACAGCAAATTATATGAAGTGAAAAATTAATCTACCTTAAGCTCCTGAAAAAAAATCTCATTACTTATTCCTCATTCTATGAGTGAAACAATTATTATCAGGGAGATTCGATATCAAACAATGATTATTTCTACAGCCTTAAGCAAATATTAAATAATACAGTATTGTATAAATAATATTTTTTACATTTATAAATTTAAGATTTAAAAAAAAAATATCAGTGACTTATATTAATGATTTTTTTGCATGAAATGCTTTTAAATCATGCCAAACTTGCTTTTTATTTTTCTTAAGATTAATCAGGGTTGTTCTCGGGGATTGCCTATTCACACTTACTCACAAAAGGACAATAATTGAAATTTTTAATGTAACTAAATTCTATGATATAAAAGTTCAGATGTTGTTATCTTAAATGCTACATTACTGATATATATATATATATATATAAAAACATTAACTAAAATAAAATTAAGGACATTTGGAAATATAAATTAAAATAATTTATATGAATAATATAACCAATAATAGGAGAAATATATCTAAGATTTAGCAAATGCAAAGGGAAAATAATTGTAATATTACTGACAAATATAGATATGTTAATTACAGTGCAATTTTTTTCAGTTTTTTGAGTAGCAAAATTGTGTACTAAAACAGAAAAAACCATCCAAAGAGAAATGTGAAAAAATGTGTCAAAGATGAAAAGTCAGCATTGATCTCAAATATGTTTCAGTTTTGTAAATACAGTAGAGCGCCGATTATCCGCACCCTTATTATCCGAACTATGTCTGAATTAATTTTTTTTTTTAAAGTTTGGAATACTTTTTAACCTATGGACAATTTTTCTAAATTAAGAAGAATAAACAATATCCCCTACATCTGAAGACCATATTTAATTTACAACCTTTTTAGCAGTTTTCTTATAGTAGCCATACATACATGTATTGTGATACAGTTAAACCTACATACCCTTTTAGCCCTTTACAACTGAAAATTATCTTCCAAGAATTCAAGCTTCATTTTGATAGTCTACAATGGTTGGAATGCAGAAGGAGTTTATGAATAGATAAGTGCTGAAGTTCTATAATTGGGGGATGGGTAGTTGTCATTTATGGTTAATGATTAGTGATTACATTGCTTGGAATCTTAAATCTTGGAATAAAATTCTTAACAAAAAAACAAGCGAAACTGAAGTTTCTGAACCAATAGATCTTTCGGATGAAAATGATGAAATTGTTGCTGAAATTTTGAAGGAAAATCGGAACTCCACAGACGAAGAGGAAGAAGTAGGTGATCAAGTTCAAGATAATGGACCTTCTCATATAGAGGCATGCAATTCATAAGATTTTGCAATAAATTGGCTAAAACGTCAAAATGATGTTGATCCAGTTCGGTTGATTTATTTAAAAAGAATAAGGGATATATGGCTGCTCAAGAAAAAAAAAATGATCTTCTTTTAAACAAAATCATTGCTGGATTTCTTTTGCAATGGAAAATAATGAAAAATGTGGTAAAATCAGTAATTGACAAAAAAATTATAAAAAACTGATATATGATAAAAATAATTCAAAATGAAAAAAAAAGTTTAAGAAAATTAATTAAAAATATTTAAAAGTTGAAAAAAAAAAAACTTTTAAACACGCCAGAGCTATTTTAGATAGTACTGTCAGTCCTAAGCCTACAAAAGGTGCGAAGGGAAGTTAGTGCATAAATAATAATCATTTACATTAGATTTTAAACAACTTTCCAATTATGTGGGAATAGTAGTTATTGACACTATCGACCTTCATCTGTGAAGAGTTACCCCACCGTAGAATCGAGTTAACGTGTCTCATATACTAGTGAATTGAAATTATATATTTGTAGTGGTAGATACACTACAGTTGTCATAAAATGAGTTCAAAAAAGACTGTCCTTAAGAATGTTTGTAACATAAATTGGCTTGCATTGGAAAAACAAATATATTACAGAGAAAAAACATTGTTTAGAATTGTGAGGCTAAAAAATGTGAAAAGTGACATCATAAGTTGAAATAGGTTGGAAACAACAATGGTGTAAAATACCTGTCCAATTTTGTGAGAGTAGCTGCTGATATTTGATCCAAGATTTTCTTCACTTCAACTTCACCCGAGTAACAGTGTCCCCAACCCAGCACTCGGGATAAGTCGTTTCCAGTACCGAGAGGCAAAATGCATATCTGTGGCAATGGCTAATAAAGGAATGAAGTGAATAAAGGAGTCATAAAAGCAATTACAGAAACACAGTCTTTTTTAGCTATTTTTCCCCCTTTTTACGGTTTTCGAGTTATTATTCGTATTTTAAGAGTAATTTGTTTGTGAATAAATTTTGAGTTTCACGTTTTAAGTATGCTCCAATAAAAAGTGAGCTGGTATTAATAATTTATAAAACATAAATATTTTCTTTTGGATTTAAAGATATACAGTCAAACCCCATTCTAGCAAAATTCGAAATAGTGAAAATTTAGATGTAGCAGTTGCTTTCTGAATCCGCAAATAAATCTCCATAGAAACGACAAATTGAAAATACTGATATTAGGAAATTCGTAATCCGAAGGTGAAAATAAGCTTTCTCTCATGATCAAAACACTTTTCCATTTTTCAAAACGATCTCAGGAATCAAATATTTTTGATCTTCAAAATAAAAAGGCATGAAAAGCATAAAAGACACAAGGTAGGGACCAACCTGAAAACTCCAACACATGATATCATGTTTGAAGAAGTGACTTTCCTAAAGAGTGAGTTCAGTTGTTTGAAAATGTGTATTATTTAGAGAAGTTTATAATTTCTTCTAAATCATTTGTACAGAAAACAATTCTTTTAAGTAATCCTTTTAATCTTAGTTGTTTTTGTGAGCTTTTAAAATATAGATTTGATATTTTCTATATGTAGAGTACAAATAGATCAAAACTCTAATTAAATGCAATATTTTTTATGCGAAAAATTCAAATGTAAGGAAATAATTTTGGTTAATGTTGAAATTCGTAATACCGGTAAAACAAATTTTCGTTATTGCGTCGGTTTTCGCAAAAAGAGGTTTCGACTGATTATTCAAGAATTAGATGTCCATTATTATACATTTTAAGACTATCAACAAAAAAAAATTTGATAATAAAATGCAATTTTAATGTTTCTCCAAGCTTTTTTTAAGGTCACTTTTTAAGAATTTCTGGATCATCACACCACACTCTGGTAATAAAATTTATTTATTAGTGAAAATTTTTAAAGCCTTAATATATGCATTATAATTAAAAAAAAGGCAATAGACACAGATGATTTACTTTTAATAAAATGAAATAATTTTACAACTATTTTTTTCTCTCTTTTCTGGGTAAGATACAGTTAACTGAAGTTTTTATTTCCACACATTTCATTCTTTTAAATTAAATAGTGTGTCCAAATGAATCCCTATTTTTACTTTACTGGAAGAGCCTGCAGACAACAGTTGTTACATAAACTGTTGTGCATGGATAATTTAAGTAGATGAGGAAATATACAGAATTTAAATAAAAAATGAATAATATTCTATGAATGGATAAATGAAAAATACTTATTTTTCCAAGGTGAGGCTCTACATAAAAATATTATATACATTGTACACATTATATATGTATTAGTATATAAATTGAAACAAAATATTAATCAAAATAAAAGTGTCTTTCTTTTGATGCAGAGCTTATGAGAGGCTAAACAAAAATAACACTTAAAAAACAAAAAGTTTAGTTACAATCAGATAACTTAAGAAATACATATTGATGCAATGAAACCCATTTTGATGTTCCATCCCATCCCTAGGGCTGGGTTTTAGAAATCTTAGATATGAACCCCCCATATTTTATCTGCGATTTGGATTCTCCAGAAAAAACTCCTATTTGATCAAGATTTATGCATTTTGCTTCACAGATGGCGCTGTAAACGAGGAAAAATTAAAATCAGGAACAAACTGTTTAAAGTGAAACATTTTGAAACTTGTCAAATTAAGAACATAAAAATGCACATTTTTAAATTTTTATACATTTTTTTTCAAAAAATAAAACTAAAAACAATTCTAGTGCTATTTCTTCATTTATTTTTCGAATTCATCAGATTAAAAACATAAAAATAGATATTTTTCATTTTTTTAATAAATTTTTTAAATAAAAAAAAAAATTCAGATTTATTATTATCTTTTTAATGAGTTTGTATCTTATTTAAATTTATTGGGTTGCAGCTCCATCTGTGAAGCAAAATGCATGACATCAAATAAGCAGTTTTCCTTTCATGAAAAACTGAATCTTTAGTAAAAAATTGCCCCTCGGGCAGTGGAACATCGAGATTGAATAACTTTCGCGAAAATTGAACGAGTCTATTTTCAAGCTGCCAATCACAGGTCCAGTGGTTACTGTACTCGACTACAGGGCCACTGGTTGTGGGTTTTAGTCCCACTGCAAGCATGGATGGTAGGATGAGGGCGACGCTATCCCACCGCTGTGGCTTCGTCACAGGTGTCCACTGGGTAACAATAACAGAGTAGCAATTCTGAGACCAATGGGAAATAGACTCAAGTGTCCCCCATATATAATAAAAAAATTTAAAAAAACTTTTTCCATCAGATGTATATTTTTTGAGATGTTTTATTGTTTTTGATTTTTTTTTAAAACTTTGTATAAATTTAGAATGGTGAAAAATTAGTGATAGGTAAGGGATGAACTCCTAAATCGCATTCTTCAACTAAAAAAAATCATTAAATCAAGTGTAAACTTCAGATGCTCCCAAACTTTTCCAAAATAATGAGAGATTCATGATTTCGTAGTTAGTTGTAACATATAATTGCCAAGATCTTCATTTAAAAGATTTAATCCATATCTTGTCTTAAATCGTATAATGGAAACATTTCTTTAAAATTATCTTAAAATCATTAAAAAAAAAAAGACCAGCACCAAATTATAAAGATCAGATTTTAGTCTAAAAAACAGGCTTTGGAGAGAAAAGAGGAAACTGAATAATTGTTGTTAAATCCATGTAATTTACTATATTTTGAAGTCAATTAAATAAACTGTTTTATGTTTTAAATTTTGCTCTTCATCATAATTCAACATTTTAATCAGAATTTATGGTATTAATGGCAATTATAAAAAGATACATTAAGGTGAATACCTCAATATTCAAACTGTCAATGGCATTCAAGACCCATCCTACGGTGCCATCTCCGCCAGCAACCAATATGCGACAGGTGTGATCTGTGATCAACTTACACCACAGCAGTCCATTCTCCGGTTTCACCTCATCCAAATCAATTACCTAAAAATAAAAATGGTATTTAAGTTTTCCTCTCTCAACAGCTACTCCTTACTTTAATGAATAGAGTCTTAAAAAAATAATATAAATCTGAAATATTAAAAAAAAAAAAAAAAAAAAAAAAACTGCAATTATAGTTTTTAATACAGATTTCAGATATATATTGGGACAACAAATTAGTTCGGTCCATTATTTTGTGATCTAAAATGCATTTATTTCAGAACAAAATTAATGAACAGATTAATAAAAGTATTGTCCTCGATGGCCACTACTTTTTCCCACCTCTCAAGCAATTTTCAAATTCCACCCCGAAAAAATTTCTCGTCTTTTGAGGTGATCCAAGTTAGGAGCTAATTTTCGATTTCTGCCAAAGAAGTGAACCAGTGACCTGCCAAATTGTGCTCCATTCGTCGGAACACCCAGTAAGTAGTAGAAACAATGTCCTGCGAGTACAGTATAACTTTGTCATGTCTTTACTCATATTCCGGCTGTTTTCTTGTAATGCACGACTCAAACGAATCAGTTCTAACCTATACCGATCGCCGGTAATGGAATCACCAGGTTGTAGCAGTTCATATTATACAACATCATTCACCATTCTTGAAACGTTGAAACCATTTTCTACATGATTCGTAAATTGGAGCATTGTCACCATAAACTTCTACAAGCATTCGATGCAGTTCAGGTGCACTTTTCCTCCAATTAAAGCAGAAATATAAAACGTCCAGCAAATGCTACTTAGTTACCACAAAATTTGACAGATTCAACAAAGTAGAAAACAGGGTTTTTGAATGTAACTCAAAGCGATATAAACTGAAAATTATTGACAGATGTCCGACCTATCTGAAACCACCGAAACCAGCTGTCACTATGAAACATTCATAACAGCCAGAGTCATCTTTTGAAAACGGACTGAACTAATTTGTACTCCCAATATATATACTCACACACAGTCGGACTTCTATTTAACGAATTCTTCGTAAAATGACTTCCAAATAGCTAAGTGAACTTTATATTTAACAAACTTCTCTTACTTACTTTCTCCATTTCCCAAAATAATTTGAAACATTTCAAACTTGTTAATACATTTTTTGATGGAAATGACCTTGAATTGATTTTTGCAGCCACTTAACTTTTAGAGGAAGCGGTAAAATCCCTTACCTTCTTATTTGCATTTCGTACAGGAATCTGTGCCAAAACTCAATTTACGAGAAAGCATAACAGAAATTTCTAAAGCTATGATGTCACAGATATTACTATTCGTAACAGCTTTGCTAAAGCTGAATTCTTAGCCAGCATGAAGAATTTGGAATGTGCGGAAGACAAGGATGACATTCATTTAGAAGAACTTAAAAAAATATGGGAACATCTAAGAGAGAACCACGAAATCAACGACCATTTATAGATTAATGACTTTCCTTTTATTGATTCTGAAGCTGCACCCACAGAAATATTAACTGAATCAGATATTTTGGACAGTGTGGAAAATAAAATCAATACAGCAATAAATTGTGAGGAAGGCGATGGAAATGATAAAGAAATCACAAGACCTTCATATGATAAAATCATTTGAAACAATTCGATAGTAGATAATAATTTACAAAATAAAGGTGTCTCAATTCCTATTTAAGTCTAGTGTTTATGAATTTAAAACAAGTTTTATGCCGTTTTAGTATTTCAAATGGTGATTTACTGTTAAACGAATTTTTCATACAACAAATTTTTTATCTGGAATTCAGCGACTTTATTAAATAGAGGTCCAACTGTGTATATATACGGTGAACTCTCACTACGACGATATCCAATACAACTCCCTTTATTGCAATAATGTTTCGTGGTCCAGACGAACTTGCATATGAATTAATGTCATGCTTCTCAAAATATTACGATATTCTCTAAAGCTATTGCCCCAGTAAAACAATTTTTTTTCCATATTTGAACCTTATTTTCTCTATTCATTCTTAGAATTGATGTCACAGATTCCTATTAGATTTCATTTCCTTCACGCTGAGTCACAAATGACCATACACATTAACACCTGAAAGAGAATTTTCTTCCATAGAGGGTGGAGCACAATTCACAAAGAAATCGTGATTTGGACTCAATGCATACTTTGTTGGTTGACTTGACAGTCAAAAAAATTAATAAACAAACAAAAAGATCAGATTATTTTCATTAAAAATGCTTTTCAGGTATGTTTACAATCTTATTTTCTGAATTTATTTCAATTGTTTTTAATATTTAACCATAATTAACACTCTGCAAAATAATTTTTTGAATAATATATAAATATATTATAGTTAATACAGTGCCCACCGTTTATTAAAGTCACTTTCGTTTTATGCTCTTTTAATTTTATTAAGCGGCTGATTTTATTAAGAGGCGATTCAACATTTGAAAAAAAAATCACATTTTCACGATATATTCTAAATGCACACACTTTAAAAGCTGAAATAATGACAACATTAATGCTTTATTTTAACAAATTTGATTATTTTAATAAAGTAAAATTCCACATAAGATTAAATTTACAAAATTTTTGCGAAAAACCGATCAATGGTTGCTTGAGTTGCAGTATTTAAAATTAACTTTTCAACATCATTTGAGAGTTTATAGAAGTTTTTATAGTTTTCAATATTCCCTCCTCTTTGTTCTAAAGCTTGCTGCAATACATTAAGTGCTTTTCTGACTTCCATTGAAGATGGCACTGATGAGTCTGATTCCTCCATTTCTTGATTGGAAATAACTTTGCAATTTTTGATGTCAGTAACAATTTCAGAATCAGATTTTTCTCCTGATGTTTGTAGGTGATCGTCAATAGCTACGTAACATGAAAAATTCTCGTCCATATCATTTTCTTCATTGCTGAGCATTTCTTCGAAACAGTTATCAGCTCCATCACCAGTGCTTAATCCACACTTTTTAAAGCAATTTGATATTGTTTGGGTTGAAACAATGTCCCATGAGTTACGAATCAAATGCATTGATTCCAAAATCGTAAGGGATTTCGATAGTTTGTTTGCAGTTAAGAGTTCCGAAGAGCTGTCACAGTCTATGTCACTAATGATTTTTTGAACAACCATTTTTCTGTAATGAAACTTGAATGATCTTATGATTCCCTGATCAAGGGGTTGAATAATAGCTGTAGTGTTGGGTGGCAAAAACACTAATTTAATGTTTTTCAAACTCAAGTCCTCATCAGCAGGGTGCGCAGAACAATTGTCTAAAAGTAAGACGACCTTTTCATTTTTCAGCTCCTTGTCCCATTCAAGAAGAAATTTTGTGAAGATGCTGGATGTCATCCATGTGTTATAGCTGTTGGCATAACTGGTGGGCAGGTGTTTTACTTCTTTAAAACATCGAGGTTTTAAACTCTTTCCTATCACTAAAGTTTTTTTTTTCACAGTTCCTGTCATGTTGCATGTTAGTAGCACGGTTAGTCTTTCCTTATTTTTTTACATCCACCAGTCGATTCATTTTTAAACAGCAGTGTGTGTTCAGGAAGTGCTCGGAAAAATAATCCTGTTTCATCTGTATTGAAAATTTGCTCTGGTTTACAGTCTTTGATGAGTGCTGGCCACACATCGTTTACCCGATCGGCGGCAGAGCTAAAATCACCAGCTTGCTTTTCACCATGCAATTTACTATAGACAATGTTGTTGTGGTCTTTCCATCAGGTTAGTCACCCATCTGCAGCTTTAAAATCAAAATCACCAAATAAGTTAGCAAAGTCCTGAGCTTTGTGAAATAAAATTCCATGGGAAATTGGAATTCTTTGTTCGCGTGCATTTTTGAATTCTAACAGAGCCATTTGTATTTCCACCAATTTTCCTTTGCGTTTACGCTTTCTTGACAGATTTCCATTATTTTTTATTTCCTCGGAAATATTTATCCTTTGTTTCAAAATGTTGAAAAGAGCTGTTTGGGAAATCCCTAATTTTATTGAAACTTCACGTTGACTACATTTAGGAAGCTTATCATAGTTTTGCAACACTTCAAATTTATCTTATTAAGACTCAAATCCTTCCTTTTCGGCATGCTGATAAAATTTAACACCAAAAGAAACTTAAAAATGATATGTACTCTAACTCTAACTATAATGTACTCAAATGGCTTAAATAATATGGAACATGAGCACAAACAGTTTTTGGAAATCTATTTACGTTCGCTGTTAAGATGGATAACAAAAGAAACTTCTCTCCCTTCTATGGTTCATTCAATAAAAAGTAAGATAAGAATTCGACCCCTTGTTGAGTGAGATAGCTTTCTCCAAACTTCATTCAAGTCAAGGAATCGACATCGATAAATTGATTTCTATGAACTCGCTGCTTACCACCCACATTTTTCTCTCTCACTCTTACACTATGTAACTCTACACTATGTATATCGCAGGAAAGTGCTAACCACACCTGTTTCACAGGTTTGTGAGTAACTGTTGCTTCTTCTAAAAAAATCTTTAAACTTCGAAAAAATAAAATTTTATAAATAAGAACAAAAAAAGCTGAAATATTGCACTTTTGATTTATTATGTAGTCAAAATTTTGATTTTAAAAAGTGGTGGCATTGATTTTATTAGGATTAGGATGTGATTGATTTAAGGATGTTTTTAACTTGTATTAATATTGTAACGATTCGGATCTTGCCGATTTGATTTTATAAAGCGGCTGATTTTATTATCCGGTGATTTTATTAGCGGCGGGCACTGTATATATATAACATTAAAAATTTTTTTTTTAAAATCTTATTGTGTCCCTAAAGTATGTAGGCCCTCTATATAACAATATATCCTTCTACAACAAAATATATATGGTCTTTATGGCTGCATGCTTGAAAACCTTGTCAGCTCAGGGAAGCAATGACTACTAAACATCATTAATCAATCCTGGAGACAAGGGCAACTTCCACAGGAATGGAAGAGAGCCACTATTATTCCAATCAAAAAACCAAACAAGAATACTTGCTCCTAGAAAGATTTTAGACCCATTGCCCTTACATGCACTTCTAGCAAGTTAATGGAGAAAATGATCCTAACAAGACTCAAGTTTATACTGGATAAAAACCAACTCATTCCCAGAGAACAATATGGATTCAGAAAGGGCCATAGCACAACAGATCAAGTCCTACTGTTTGAGCAAACCATCAGGGATGCCCAGAATCTCAAACCTACTCATCATAGTGTCGCTGCTTTACTGGATCTTACTAAAGCTTTTGACAGGGTTTGGAAACACAAACTGATCGTAAAGCTTCATGACACCTTCAACATACGAGGTAATGCCCTAGTTTGGATTTCAGACTATTTTCAAGAAAGATCTATCAAGGTTAAATATAACAAAACACTTTCTGACACCTATAAACTGAGCCAAAGAGTTCCTCAAGGAACCGTACTTAGCCCTATTCTGTTCACCCTTTATTTGGCTGGCATTGAGCGGACAATTACCTCGGGCACAAATATTGGATTCTTTGCGGATGACATTGCCCTTTGGAGCTAAGGAAACAATCTGGATGACTTGGAGTCCAGACTCAATGCTTCTTTGGAGTCTATCTCTTTTTTTGCTGCTGACTATAAACTTCACTTTATTCCAAGCAAATCTACAACTACCTTCTTTACTACAAATAAGCATTTCTATAATTATCACCCAAAACTGGTCTTTGAGAGCCAGGAACTTATCTATGAGAAACATCCAAAATACTTAGGCTTTGTTCTTGATTCTGAATTTACCAGCAATAAGCATATTGAACATATTACCTTGAAAGCTAGAAAGCGTTTGAACATCTTAAAGTACATCGCTGGCAGAGACTGGGGTGCGGATGCGACCACTCTGAGAACTACTTTTCTGGCTCTCATAAGGCCTATTCTCGAATACGGTCCAATTTTCTGCTGTGCCTCTGAGACCAATCTAAATAAACTTGAACGGTCCAACTTAGTGCTGCCCATATTATCACAGCTTTGAAACAGAGTTGCCCAGCCAACACTGTACGTTATGAAGCTAACCTTTTGCCTCTCTATACCAGAAGACAAGCCAGCCTGGTAAAATATTATAACAAGCTCCTCAGCTTTGGACAACATAACAAGACTTCCAAATACCTCAGCAATTGGATTTTCTCCCAAAGGCTCAGCAAATAGTTTTTCAAAACCTCCTTGTCGATAATGTAGAGCCGCACTCCCTTCACAGTTCTTTGAACCCTTCTGAAGATCTTTCAGAAGTTTTCTTCCATTTCAACCTTCCCACTCCTGTCAATAAGAAGGAATTCCTGCCCGATCATCTAAAGCAACTGGCTTTCGAAATTATTCACTCCATTCCAAAACAAGACGCAAAAATTTTCACTGAAGGCAGCAAAATTGATAGTCATGCTGATAGAGGAGTCTACATCGAGACTCCCGATGAAAAATTTTCTCTCTGCCAGCGTAACTCAAACTTCTGCTCCGTTTTCAGAAGTGAACTTCTGGCTATCAACAGGGGTCCGGAATTTGTTATGCAAAATGACCTTTATTTTAAAGACCTTTGGATATTCTCTGATAGCCGCAGCTCCCTGCAACATCTCAACAACCGGACCCAAATTGGCGACAAAATCAGTATTTCCATCGTAAACAATAAAACTCTTGTCCCTCCAACATAATATTCACCTGCAGAGGGTTCCTTCTCACGTCGGTCTCTATGGTAATGATTCAGCGGACAGCCTAGCTAAAGAGGGTTGTAAACAACTGCACTCTACCTCTTCTAATCTTACCTATCTTGAACTTTACTCCCTAAAGAAATCCCAGCTTCTCAGAGACTGGTTGATTCCCCCCACCCACCATTGGTACAAGGAAAATAAGCCTGGAGTTTCTCTGACCCTTCCTTTTGAAAGGAGAGTCTGCACCACCATCTCCCGCCTAGCTACCTGCCATCTTAAAGGTTTTCTATTTTCCGAAGGAACTAAAATCTACCCCATCTGCCCTAAATGCCATCCACACCGGGCTTCCACCGATCACATCCTGAACTGTCTTGGTCTTCTCTGGGAAGACATTTACTCTACTCCTCTTTTGGTATTTGATTTCTTCAGGTCAATGGGTTCATAGATCTGGTCTGACTTCGTAAGGCCTAAAGAGGATAAGCAACAACAAAAACAAAATATATTTATTGGGTCCCCAAAATACAGTTGCAGTGAGGTTTCTCTGTGTGTGTGTGTGTATATATATATATATATATATACACACACACAAATAACATCACTCAATAAGTCTCCGATTTAGCTAAGAAAAAAAAATTTCTTTAGAAATTCAACTTTATTTGTTAACATACTCTAATTCTAGAAAGATCATTCTAATGCTCTACTAGCTTCTTGATGCCTTTTTTTGTACAAAATTTGTACTTGCTCTCAAAATAGTTTCAAAAATACTTCATCATTAATTTCTCAAAATTTCAATTTCATCAAAAATACTTCTTCATTTAAGTCAAGTTTCTTTTCCTAGAGCATATTTTTAAGATCTGCAAAGATCCAGTGAGTCACTAGGAGACAGATCCGGAGAGAGTGTTGGGTGGAGAAGTAGTTGAAAGAAATTTAATCTTTGTTTTCACCGACTTGTAATGAGACACATTGTCTTACTGAAACTGAACTTTTTTTCTTCGATTGTGAGGTCCTTTTTCCTTGATTTCCTCGCTCAGTCAATCTAATAATGCTATGTAATATTCCCTATCGATAGCATTGATACCGATGAATAAAATACTGCGCACCTCCCAAAATATAGAGACTAAAACCTTGTCACCTGACATTTGAGATTTTCGCCGGCTACTGTCCACTCAGCTGAAGATCTTTTTATTTCAGAAGACACTTGTCAAGTAACTGTTTTGCTTCAGCAGTATTTTTCAAGATCAAAAAACAATTCATCTAAACACTAAATTATTTTTTTATCTATTGTTTAAAAAAATTACAAACATAATTTCTATTTCAAAATTTTCTCATCTATTTTAAATTTCCCCACTCAAAAATAACAGGAAAAGTAAAATTATTCTCTAAAATTATCATTATTATTTTGGATAACACTGAATCTGAGATTACTTTTAAAACAAACTACAGACGTGAATCAAAAACCTAATGACAATATTTTTTTTCCTTTCAATTTTTAAATTTAATAAGAAATTTCAATTTAATACAAGTGTAATTTAATGTTTTTTTTAATGTCGGCCATCGAGGCAGAATGGCTGAGTTTGTCTGCAAGACTACTTCTGCCACACACATATGTCACACTCGTCTATCTTGTGGACCCACTCATTCGCCCACAGATCGTAATTTTAACTCAAAGCAGAGAACGATCCATCTCCAATTCAGTATCCCCATAGGTATAAATTATGGGAACATGGAGGACTTTGTGATCCTACAAATTTAACGTACACCCGCCGCCACATACTGCACGGAAAATCCTCTGTCGGCTCCGTTCTCATGAGCGCGAGTCCGGTACCCTGCCGACCAGGATATCCTCGTCTAGTGTCATTTAATATGAGTGTATAATTTCAATTATAATTAATCATAAGTTTAAAAATTAACAATTGTGGAATAACAGGAAAGTAAGAATCCTCAGTTGCTTTTCAAATGAGGAAAAATATTTACCTGAGCAGGATTCAAATAACCTCGAAAAGATCTTAAAACGAGATCCCCTTCGTTGTTTCCACTTTTGCGATTTCCAATAACTATTAAAGGGCTCCAGGGCCTGTAAGGGGGTGGCTGAACTTCATCCACCACTAAATGCCCTTTTATTCCAACTTTCCTTAAAGTGATGCAAAATGGTGGGACGATGAAGGATCGATAGCGCCCAAAGTCACAATGGGTGGCCATGTTAGTGAGGCAGTGTTTGTGGGTGCTACGCTGACACCAACAACAGCGGAAATCAGTGAGTGCAGCTTCTGTTCCACAATCTGCTTGACAGACATCACAAGGATAGACGGATGGAAAGTTTCCTGAAAAATTACAAATGTTAAGGGGTTAAGAATAGCATGTTTTTTTTTCTTCTGACATACTCAAATATGATATAATTATAACCATCATTGAACAGTTGACCCAATTTTTTTCGGGGGGGTGGGGGGTTACAATTACTACAGGGTGCATAGCCAGATTTTTTTACATAAAATAAGCACCTTTTAAGCACTCAAAAAATATTTTCAATCACTTACCAAAAAAAATATCGTAATTAGGATTCGCGTAGTAATGAAAATTATTTTTAGATCATTTAAAGTTCTCATCTTATAAACATAAAATCAATAAAATTCAAAAACTTTACATAATCAGGATAACATAACTAGTTTCTGATAAATATTGCTGAGAAAATTGTGAAAATCATTCATATTTTGGAAATTAGAATGAGTATAGACATGGTGAAGAAAAATTATATTTTTAAATTATAGAAAATTAAGTACTTTTTACAAACCCCGAATAAAAAAAGCACATTTATGAATTTTAAAATGCACCTTTAAGCACTTTTTAAAATGCTATGCACCCTAATAATGTTCAATTCCGTAGCTTTGTAATTTTGAACCCAATCTAAATGATAAGGGAACTCCTGGATCAAGTATTGGGAGAAATTTGTCTTCATGGAAGAGTTCTTGATGGAATTATGCATTTGCATTACATGGGGAGGAAAACCACGAAAATCTCCCATGGTCAGTGTGATGGCACGGGGATTCTAACAGATAATCTGTCTACCACTGACAGGCTTAGTTAGGATATTTTACTGACTTAGGCGTGAGTTAGGATATTTTACGTCAGCACCGCGGTCGGTGCGAGCAGTATGCGGGATTCGTATTGACCAGGCACAGCTGGGATTCGAACCCGGTTCACTCGATTGGAAGGTGAACGCTCCATTCCCTAAGCCATTACGACTTTCGAAAAAGCATAGTCCCAATTGAGGAATCAATTGAGGAGGTTACTTTAGGAATCAATAGGTAACACTAAAATGTTTCCCAAAAAATAATTTCTATAAATTGATTTTAATTAATTGAATTATTAAATAATTGAATTTAAAATTTTGTATTTATTCATTTTATATGCTTCTGCCAAGCAAATGTATCAAATGAATAATTACTCAAAACAGTATAAAAACGTTCTCTAATTAAGTTTCTGCAAATAACATTCTATGGATAAATTATTTTTCATTAAATAGCTGTTTGTAATTGCATTTTGAATTACCCTGTATACTTCTTCATTAACACTTAATGAAAAAGATGACTTTAAATTATGGTGAGTTAGGCATTTTACAGGGGGAAGATCTTAATTTTACTCCCTCTCAACTGTGTATGTTCGACTGGGGTTATTTCCTTCTAATATATATATATATATACAGTCCCTGGCCATATTATTAGACGCACTATAAGAGTCTATGCAGTGCCGGATTAAGTATATGAGGGGCCCTAGGCCATTCACATTTTTGGGGCCATTAGATTAAAAACTTTTTCTCATATATTTTTTATTTATTCAAATATAAAAGTATTTATACATCTTTTCATTTCAGAAAGCATATTTAAAATTAAAATAAATTAAATTTTACTTTATTTTGTTAAATTAGAACTAAAAAATAATCATAACATTTAGAAAAAATTTTAAATTAATTAAGTTTTTTACAAAATCAACACTACTATGAAATTGGTATTCAAAAATTTTTTTTTCTGCTCGTGCGATCAATAAACTCATCTAGAATGTTATCAAAATTAATTTCACGGAGAACATCTGATTCGATAAACATCAAACTTAGCATATCTAATCGTTTTTTGAAACATGACGCTTCTTTGCTCACTCCTGATTCGTTTCCTTTTTGAAAACGAGCGCTCCGTAGAACAATTTGTTATCATAAGCATTAGAAAAATGGGAAGAGCAGTTTCAACATTTGGAAAAACAAATCCAAGTTTGTCTTGAAATAAAGTTTCGTAAAGTTCAGAATGAGTGAACTGAGTTTAGATGGGAATTTTGATTTTATGTAACTCTGAAACTGTTTCAGTTAAGAATAAATTCAGTTTAGAATAAATTTGTTATTCTAAAGAAATAATGCATAAAACTAAAAAAAAAAAAAAAGTGTACTTTGTTAACAAATTGAGAGTCATTTTTAATTTTAATTATTTAATAAACAGTTCAAATTTTTTACATTTTATACGACATAAAAATGTAATGAGTAATTTTATGTCGTATAAAATGTAAAAAATTTGATTGAAAGTGACCAGTTGTATGAGTTTTTTCTAGAGTATATAAAACAATGAACAAACACTTACCTTTAAGTAAATAATTTTGTAATTATTTATTGATCAAATAGAATTATGGACACTGAATAATTTTAAAACACTAAAAAAATTATGAGACACTTCAGTTGAGGCATTAAATAACTTCTTTTTCATGTGTGTCTCAATAATGTCAACAACATTTAATTCTTTGCTTCTTGTTTAAACAAGTCTCAGCTCGCTGTAGTACTCCCTTCAATTTTTTTGCACGCTAATCAAAATGACACATTTGAACTCATAAAACATTGATAAATCTTATAATACATAAACTATAATAATATGTAAAATAACTAAAATAAGTAATAAATAAATATGATTAACTTTATGTAAAAAAATTATCTTATTTTATTAAACTAAATATTTGAAATTTTTTAAAATTTACTTTCAAAAAATCCACTTTAAGGGGTCCCTAATCATTGAGGGCGATTAGGCATTGAGGGCCTAATCATTGAGGGCATTGAGGTCTGGCCTAATGGGTAATGAGTCTGTGTAAAATTTTAATTATCAGGTGACACTATACAGCTTTATTGTTTATTGTGATTAAAACCGGTTTGCACTTGTTTACATTCATGTAATAATTGATTAACATTGCAATGCAATACGTTAAAAATAAATACAAATAGGAAGAATATAAAAAAATCTCTTGGATAAAAACTCATTACATGCATTTCTAAATATAAATGTTTTGTCTATAAACTCGTGCAAAATATATAACTAATAAAAAAACTACAGCGCGTCTAATTATTATAATTTAGTAATATAATACCTGATATAAAAAATAATTTATATTTATATAATACATTGTCTAATGTATCCAATAATCTAATTTAACCAATCGAAACACGTAAGCAAGTGCAAACAGTCGCGTAAAAACAATAATGATCACCTGATAATTAAGATTAATCGGAGGGGGTTTCATACTGCTCATTCATTATTCAAAGTAAAATAAAGAACTAGCCTTTTATCCAGTGATGTTTCATGTTAGTGTCTTCGGTGGCTAAAGCTTTACAGCTCAGAGTTTTGTTGGCTTTCTTGAGGCAAGACCTATCAGAACAGACTCCACAGGAATCACAGTAATAGCCATCAATTATGAGTGTTGTACAAATACTACAGTAGGCAGTGTTACAGAATGAATCGATCGGACACCAATGATGACCTTTGCTGATGTCCCTTGCTGGGAGGTCATTGTTATTCTGCTGGACTTTCTTGAACACTTTCCATGCAATAACGACAGAGAGGCAAAAGAATGAAAACAGACATCCACCCTTAAGAGAAAACATTTATTTTGATTATTAAACAAACTTGCAGCATTTTATTAGAAATAAAAATGTCTAATATGCCTGAGATAATGCTAAAATGACTAGTTAATTCCCTCTTTTATTGAAAAGAGGGCAGTCCTTTATTTTTTTCATTCACCTGTAGTTTTCTATAAACTTTATTCTTTTTTTCCATCAAAAGAAAAAAAAAACATTCCCTGGTCTATATTTTCTTACTTCATGTTTTCTAATTTTTCAAAAAAGTATTGCAGTATTATTTGATGTGACAAAGTTTTTTTCCTTTTTCAACAATGCCTTATGATGCCCTGTTATTTTTTAATTGCGTGTATATCTTACATCAACAAAAGTGAGTTCGTGCTCGTCTCCTGCACTCTTAACATCATAAAAACTGCAGAAGAATTTTCTGGCTAGAATTTTCTACCTACAGTGGAAAGTCTAAAATCCAGACGCGGCCAGACTTCGGACTATAATATTTAAATTACCAGTTAGAACACATTTATGAGCAAATTCAAAATGTATCTCTTCTTCACAAAGACATTCAAGTACACACATGAAAATATTGTAATAATTTTACCTGAAGTAAAATAGCAGCTTTCTCCTCAAAGGTGAGATATGCTAGTGGATTCCACATTATTCTGGATAGTCCTCAAAAAAAGAAGAAAAAAAGGCTTTAAAAATTTAACAGGGTTGGCATGATTAAATTTATTTGACTCTTTTAAAAGAAATCTTTGCAGGGTATCTGCTACATTTTAGATTTTCAATTCATGACTAATTCCAAGAATATTTAATGACTTAACGAAGTTACTATTTTCTCCCGGCAAAAACACAACAATTAATTTAAAAAAAGCAACATAATAACATTAATTGAAATGATAGGTATCACCAAGACTGTTACACTCTGCATCTACATATTTATTGATTTTAAATTTAAAAAACAGAGTCAAGTAAGAGTCGAAGCAATAAAATAGCTGAAAAAAATACAAAAGCAAATTATTTTTTTTATTATTTTTTTCTGCAGACTTTATATTCTAAAGATAATTTTCTTGTATATGGCAAGGGAAAGAAATACTCCTAATTTTTCTGCTCTCATTTCGGAATTAAAAAAATCGCCAACGACTCGCTTGCTTCAGATAGAATTTTAAATTGTTAAAATAAAAATAATAAATTCTGAAATCACAGAAGTTTAAAAGATTATTTGCTCTAGAAATGATGTTTTTTCTTTCATTTTTTGAAAAAACACCCTAATTTTTAAAGAACAGGAAAAAAACATTTTATATTTTAGTAAAATATGATTGTGAATGGGGATTTTGTTACAAATTCAGATATTCGGAACACCATGTAATTGGGGAGGGGGTAAATTCCATTTTAAAAATTAGATTTTTCGACGACCTAAATTCATGACTTTCCATGATTTTTTTTTTTAAAAATTAGTTAAAATCATGACATTTCATGACAAATTTCGTTCAATACCAAAATTCATGACTTTCCAGGTGCACGGATACCCTGTAAATTATACTTTTCTTTATTTTAAGGTTAATTTTTCACAGAAAAAAAACCTAACTAATTTTATATATTTTTAAACTCCAATTGCTGAATTACCAGGGTTTGCCAAGTGGGCCCACTTTGAAAAAACCCGCCTGGGTTTTATTGGGTGGGCCCACCTTGAAAAAACCCACTTGGAATGATAAGTGGGTTAATTTATTGTGCAGCATAAATTTATCAAATAGAGTTGCATGATTTATTATGATAAAGTTTTTAATATTTGTGAAGTAAAAGAAGCTCGAATCTTATAATTTTATAGTACTATTGAAAACGATAAGTGGGTGTTTTCAAAAAGTAATATTTTAATGATATCAGGGTTGGCAGGTTTTTGACATGTGACAGTTTAAACCATAGTTTAAACCGTCACGTCAAAAACCTCACTGTCAAAAATGTCAAAAACCTATATTCATATGTGAAATTTAATTAATACATAAAATTTATATATTTTTTNTTTCAAATATAGTTGCATTCTTTATATATTAATAAACAGGTTATTATTATTAATTCATAAGTTTAAAAAAATTAAAAAGAAATTTTTTTTTTTTACTAAGTGATACGATAACAAGTTTAAAATTTTACTTTCTGGCTTTAAAAAATTAAGGTAAAACTTTTCATAAGAGAACTTTTTTAAATTATTTATCTAAAAATGAAATCATTTTTCTAGGGTTAATTATTTGAAAAAAATGGGACAAGTAACTGATACTCTTTATAATCATACATAATTTTAATTTCACTTTCTATTAATCTTATTATAAAAACAAGGAAGATCATTAAATATTTATTTCAGTTTTTTATTAAAGTCAAAAGTCAGATGAAATTTTTGTTTTTACTGATTATAAATATTTACAGATTATAATTTCATAATGGGTAATTTTTATATGTTTTATAAATATAGTAAATGTGTGTGAAAACAAGAAGATAATAAACTTTTTCCTTTTATACTACTGCATTTATATTTTATAATGCTTGAGTTAAAAATTGTGAAACATTATATACTTAACAATAAAGAAGAGTCAAATATGTATTAGTGATAATGTGTTATTTAAACTTAATATAAAACACATACAACAAAATTAAAATAACTTTTTGAATTTACTTCTTTTTCAAGCTTTATACAACAATTTTTCATAAATAAAAATATTTACACAGTAAAACTTAAAAGTTTATGAGCACTAAATGAAAAAAGCCAATTTCCCCCTGGTTTTTTCAAATAAAACCCAATTTTACCTGGGTTTTTCAATAACACCCAGGAGGGTTGGGTTTTTTCTAAAATACCCTGGTTTTTTCAAACCCTGTGAATTACACAATTAACTGTTTTTGGAGCCATTCATATTTCTACTTATTTTTCACTTCATCAACATTTCTCCCAGATTTGATATTTAAAAAAAAAAATTCTTATTTAACTCAAATGTTGGGATGAAAATATTAATTGGAGCCAACTCAAAAATATTAATTTTGTTGCATATGTTGAAATTCAATCCATCCCATTCTTTCATTGTGATGTGACAATTGTAATGGATCACTTTAATTTTAAAAACAAATTGAAAAGTAAATATTTATTGGAGGAAGGAAAATCAGTTTTCGCAAGACTAATTTCAGTCTTCAACTGAAGAGTGGCACCCACGATAAAGCAAATGAATGGCGGTATTTTTCCATTATACCGGCGCAAATGTCACCAAACAGACTTTTTGGTGACAGCACACAGTCGCCGGAACAACAGTATACATAAAAAAAACAGTTAATAAATGGGTAAAATAATTTTATACTTCGGAGGCATAAACATTTTAATATTGCTTAAAATTCAAACAAATGGGGCTTCCGTTTGCTTTCTCCACATAAATTCCGCAAGTTAACTTTCCAGATGATGGTGTACCATTCCTCGGTGCTTCGCCATTTCGCACTCAGGGGTCTGTCTAGGTTTTTCTGAGAGGTACCTATTTTGTGAAAATTTAGACATAATTTGTGAAAGATTAAAAATTATATTGAAAAATCAACACAAAAATATGGTAAAAATATGAATTTATTGCTTCTTAAGGGACACAAAAATAAAATTTTAAGAAAAAGTATTTTGTGAAACTATTGTTTTTCGTAAAGTTGAATTTGTGAAACTACCGTTTTTCCTAAAGTTGAATTTGTGAAGGTACCGCTAAAGGTAGTAAATTAGGCCTGGGCAGACCCCTGGCACTGCTTCACAGTCTCTCTATCTTTTGTGCGTGCATTCCAGTTTCCGGATCGACAAAGTTGCATTTACGGTTCACTTTGAAATTTTCATCTTCCAGCTTACTAGTGCAGTATAATTTCCATGAATTACTTATATTACATACATATTTAATATAGAACATATATTAAAGTTTCCTTTTCAATATTTTCCTTAATTGCTTTGAAAGTGTTAGAGGATCGGTTTGGCACCTACACAAGGTTTGTTTCCCGACAAACTCCACCCAAGATTCATTGTTGTGCTAAAATCCATCCCACGTAGTTTTTTCGCTTCGTAACCAAACTTTCGTCCCCTTCGATGATCATGCCAGGTCCTCCAACTTCTCGTTGTTCATGTTTAAGAAAAAAATTCACACAAACATCAAGCATGAAGTTATTCTAGTCTATAATTGTTCTGTGACTGATTTCCAACTGCTTTTCAGACCATTTAACTGAAGTTAATTTTTTGCTGCAAAAATAAATAAACTGCACACACTTCAAAAAGCTCATTTTTGATGAATGAAACCATGTGCCTTTACTGAACTTCTTTTACAGCGACAAAATGAAAGGTTGCAGCACCTTCGAATTTCCCCTCCGATATACAATTTCTTATCATGATTCTTATCACATGTTGCAATTTCATCCAAAACGTCTTTCTCTTCCTGTGTTTTGGGCAAATCCCAAATTCTCATTGTTTTTTAAGTTAATTTTTCGTATTAGAAAAAAAAACGTGACCGATAAAAAAAAAAAAAAAGACTGCGACTACCTTTGAAAATGTGGAGACAAAAGGTTACCAGCGGTGATATTCAGTTTGGAATTGGTTGCATCATTATTGGCGCCTTTATCGCCTGCGCTGGTATAATGAAAAAGTACCGCAGACACACTAAAAACCCATATAGTTCAACAATAGTTCAATGTAATAGGACGAATAACTCAACAGGAAAACTTTTAGATTCTTTTAGTTCCATGACCGTCATCGTTGGCACGAACAGGTATCGAAACAAAGCTAACAGAAATACGAAATACTTTTTTACTATAAATACGAACAGTTTACTTTTTTGAAAAGAAAAGAGCCAACATACAATTTGTACACGATTTAGATAATATCTTAAAAATTAATTTTAAAATTAAACCACTATATTTCCACCAATGGAAATTTCGTTTAATTTGAGATAAGTATAAAATGAGTGTGAGGTGAATTAAGTATCGACCATGCCAATCTTCATCTATCAAAAGGTACCTCCTATTGTAATCAAGTTAACATGTCTTATATACTAGTGATTTGGTATTTTATATTTATAGTGGTAGTTACGCCACAAGTGCAATTATAAGGAATAAATCCCAGTCAAAACTTGTAAGGATTGAGAAAATGTTTACTTCGAGATCGTAACCTCATTTTATGAAACATGTACTGAAAGAAATCATCACTTTCTCATTTTTAGGATCAAATTAGTTAATACTCGTCGGTGACTACATAAAAATAAAAACAAGGCAAGAAGATGTAGGAACAGTATATATTTTGTTTAGTCTAAACTAAACTAACTTATAGCTTTTGTAGATTATATATAACAGCCTTCAAATACGCATGTAAACGAGAATTTGATTGGGGGCCAATCAAAGTTGGGTATGTCTCATTATTCGCACTAGTGGCACTGGCTTGCCGCAGTATTAAAACTGGTTACTTTAGTGCACCGCACCAATCATTATTGGTGACCGAAATGGGCTGCAGGTAGTGTTGATAAGAACTCTCTACCTATGGCAACACTTCACTTGCTTTCACTAGTAGTGTGTGAAGGGTTATAGAAGATTTCTGTCTTGATTTTCATATAGATTAAAATCTTTTAAGTTGGGAAACTATGTGGAACTGAAAATTACATTAAACATAGTTCTAAAAGAAGGCATCATGAAAATTTAAAAAAAATATTTTTAACAATTAAAAACAAAAAATATTAAAAAAGGAAACATAGCGTAGTACATTCCTACACAGCTGAAGAGAGGAGAAAGGCCAAAAGCGTGGATATGCTGGTCTTCTCCCCAGATTGCGTATTCAAGCATTGCGATTGCCTATTCAAACTGGTGTCACCAGTTATGCACGAAGTGAGGCCAGGTTTCTAGTTTGTCTAAGCTAAGAACTCCTCCTGCCAAAAAGTCTGAAGCCATCTGGTGCTATGGAAACAAGAATGGTGCATTTTAAGGAGTACCTAAAGTGGTTAGCTCCACTTTAGGACTAACACAATAGACCAAAGAAAGTGATTCCCTTTCTCATGCTGACCCGAGCAGAAATCACTCCAAAACAGTGACCCCGCTCCACTACTTGAAATAGTCACACCTCGTTATCATATTATCAGCAGAGGTATAGAAGAATGTCTGGGGGAGCTCTTATTTTAAACAAACTATAGCCCAGAAAGCATTTAACCTTACGACAACCTTGAGTTTTAACTTTATTTTCATTGTCACGAAAAGGATCGCGGTAAAAACCTTTTTTCAATGACGTAAAAATATTGCAATTTCCAACCTTTCCTCCTTAAAGGAAAACTAAATGATTTTTAAATCTTTTTTAAAAATATTGTCATTTAGGTTAAAAAACAAGCAAATTGTAAACCTTATTTTTTGCATTTTTGTTTGCGGTCATGATTAGGTTAGCAGAAATATTAAGCGAAAACCTTTTTCAAAGGAAACGGCTGCTCGACACAAGTATAAGTAATAGTTCTTTTTCAGAAACTTTTCATTCGAACAATCTCATTAATATAATAAATAAAATTTGAATCTGGAGTTAAAAATTGACTCTTCAATATTTTTTTACATATTTTTTTTTCCTTCTCGAATTTGGCTATAGGGGTCCTATGCGTTGCGGTTCCTTTAAAATGTGGGGCCATCTCTCGTTCATTTTACCTTATTGCAAACCTAATTATAATATAGCAATAAAATATTCGCAAGAAGAGAATTTTATTTAAAATATTTATATGCAGAAAAAATTCGTCCAACAGTCTATTGTGAGCTAGAGGGTCATCGATATTAGGACTCCACGATTTATGACTAACGAGGAGTGATGGTGGCAAATAAAATCACCTTTGCGCGCCTACCGCCTTTATTTCCCTGACAAGCTGGTACCCGCTCTACAGCTGGGAGGATTCAAAGCCTAGATCCACAGATTTTTTCATCATATCTTTGGAGTGAATTTAAGAACATTTTGTTCACAGAACTCGATGTATAGAGTACAAAATAAAAGACAGACCACCCTGAATAGATTTTGATCTAATGATTGAATTTTCACGTTTTATAACTCAATCTTAATATACCAAACAATAGTACCAAAGTGAATTTTTATACACTATTTAGGGGGCACATAAAGGGCCAAAATAGATTATGTTAATTAACCGGAAGGAAGTTCTGGGTAAAGAAGTTTGTAGACTCGGTGGTCAGGGGATCAGTCCTGGTCACGGATTAATATTTAATATTTTTTTCTATTTACTTTATTTTATTTTTTTAAATTTATTTTTCGATATTTCAACGTGAATAAAGGGTTATATATATAGAAATAATTATTTTTCTTTGGGAAAGAGGGAATAATAGCTGAAAAACGGATAAATTTCGACCCCTTTACCAGAAATTCGAGTTTTATATACTAAACAATCGTACGAAAGGAAATTTTTATACACTAATTAGGGGGCACATAATGGGCCAAAATAGATTTTGTTAATTAACCGGAAGTAAATTCTTTAAGCTATATATTCGTGGAAGCAACGTGTGAGTCGTGGTGTTGTTGTTAGCGCCATGAGTAAAGAAGTTTGTAGATTCGGTGGTCAGGGGTTCTGTCCTGGTCACGGATAAAATTTTAATTTTTTTTTCTATTTACTTTATTTTATTTTTTAAAATTTATTTTTCTGTATTTCAACGTGAATAAAGTGTTATATTTATAAAAATAATTATTTTTCTTTGGGAAAGAGGGAATAATAGCTGAAAAACGGATAAATTTCGACCCCGGAGCTACTCACACGACTCACTCCGTAACTGCCTTTAATATTAACTTATAATTTTCAAACTCTGCCAGAAATTAGAGTTTTATATACCAAACAATCGTACCAAAGGAAATTTTTATACACTAATTGGGGAGCACATAATGGGCCAAAATAGATTTTGTTAAGTAACCGGAAAAAAGTTCTTTAAGCTATATATTCGTAGAAGCAACGTGTGAGTCGTGGTGTGGTTGTTAGCGCCATGGGTAAAGAAGTTTGTACACTCGATGGTCAGGGGTTCGGTCCTGGCCGCGGAATAATTTTTAATTTTTGTTTCTATTTACTTTATTTATTTTTTTTTTCGATATTTCAACGTGAATAA